TGTGACAAACTTTGGAAAAATTGATTGGCTATAAATACATGAGCAGAGCACGTTATCAGTCAGTACATCACATTTCACCTGATTGAAGCTACAATTTCCAGAGTCATATGAATAACTCTTCTTCTTCAACGTGCACGTTCTTTGTTCTTGCTACAGCCGGGCCATCCGGTTCCTGTTCGAGGTGTTGAGCAGCTTCGATGCCGAACAGCAGCGGCTCTTTCTCCAGTTTGTTACTGGAAGCCCGAGGCTGCCTGTCGGAGGTGAATAACAAAATAAATTTAAAAAAAGATGTATTAGCTAAAACAAGCCCACGCTGTAATTTTCCTCACATTTAACGTGGATGTCGTCATCGCCAGGTTTCCGGAGCCTCAACCCCCCTCTGACAATTGTGAGGAAGACGTTCGAGTCGACGGAGAACCCCGACGACTTCCTGCCCTCAGTCATGACCTGCGTCAACTACCTGAAGCTGCCTGACTACTCCAGCATAGAGATCATGCGAGAAAAACTGTTGATTGCTGCCCGCGAGGGCCAGCAGTCGTTCCACCTTTCCTGATCTCGCCACCTCTCAAATACAAATGCCTTCTTCAGCAACTGATAAAAATCATTACTTCCTTAAGTTTTGTTTTGTAATCTCACACACCGAGGCTACGGGGATAGCCTTGTTGTTAGAGAAAGCAGCTTGCAGAAAAAGTTAAGACTTTAAATATATATTTGCTGCCCCCTTGTCTCTCCAAAAAAAAAAAAATTATAAAAACAAAAAAGTGGAAGTGTGTTTCCATGACTCAGAACATAAGATATAAAAAAAGAGAGAATAAAACCTATATCAGTAGTGTTAAAAAGATGAAAACATCTGGGTGACATTTTAAATTGCATTGCTATGTGATATTTAAAAAAAAAATAAATAAAAAAAAGAGAGAAAAAAAAGGGATGTCTCCTCTCCAGAGTGGCGGACGGCTTACTGGGCGTTAGGGGAGGAAGGGGAGGGCGATTTCATTGAGCAGGCTAGGTTTACTTTAGCTCCAAAGATCATTTGTACAGACAAATTTGCAGACTTTGCTCATTCTACACATTTGATAGAATAGTTCTTTGTTTTCCATGTCTCCCCCTCAGTTCATATGTTGGCATTTTGTTCTGTATTATATCGGCCCCCAGTCTGTGTGTTGCATTTTGGTTCGGCTTCCTCCCCCTCTGTGTGTCTTTGCTTCCAGTGTTGAAAACGAGAGTTGCCGTTGGTTGAATGCAGGTAGTGATAAGATCATATTATCTGTTTATTTTTATTTCTCCCCACTGCCCCCCCATACACCATCTACCCAAGTTGGGACTGTGTTCTGGCCTCCTTTATTATAGAGTTTCAGCTTAAATGAAGAGTTGTAACCCATGTGTTGACCAGGTAAATTTGTTTTGCTCTTATTTTGATAGAGTTAGTGTCTTTCTGTTTGGCCCTACTGGATGTGTAGGGTGACGTTGGTAGACCAAGCTCTGAGCAACCCTCAACACAAAATGTAGCTGGGCACAAAATTAATTGGCTGGTCTCATTTTATCGTTTCTTGGCCAGATGGCATTTCAAGTTCATTTATGGAATAAAGTATATATGCAGTTTCACACCATGTTTGAGGTGAGAATGTCTGCTTTACCTTTTTTTGTTTTTTTAATTTTCTATATTGTCTTTTTTTTTTTTTTCTTGCTGTAGTTGATTTTTTTTTTCTTTGCACTGCTGGCTTGGAACAAACCGTGGTGTGCACTTGCAGTCTGTGGCCAGGGGAGGGCGCCACTGTATGCTCTCCTGGCCCAATCGTTCATGTGCTGGTTTCTAAGATCTGCAATAATTTACTTGCATCAGGTTCATGTTTTTACCTGAACATAAATAAAGTAACTGTTTGACTCATTGGCTTATAGTTTTGATTTTTTTTTTCTTACCCACCCTGTTTGTTTTACTACTGAATAGTTATTACTCAAATTCATTCCTTTACCTCATTTGTTTCCCTGGCAGGTGCATCTTAAAAAAGAAAAATCCGAAGGTTCAGTAAATTTTGCCACGCATTTCAGAAAGTGAAACTCATGTTGTATTGATTAATTGCACATGAAATGTATTAAGGCTTTATTTCATGTGATTTTGAAAATGGTTTACAGAAAATGAAATGACAAAATGTAATGTCTCAGAAAATGTTAACTGTCTTGAAATGGAGACTATTAACTCAAAATACCTGCAAAGGTTTCCTGAGCTTTACAAGAAATAAAGGCTTGGAAATATATCGATCTTTATAAAGTTTCACTTTTAAAACGGGCAAATATTGAGCTTTTTAATCTTGTGGTTTTTATCTGTTCGTGTTTTGTGTTGGCAGGGTTTATTAACAGCTGCTTGTTACAGGTTTGGACTTTTTCCGACCGCTGTGTCCTAAAACCCTGAGCTCAAACAACAAAAGGCTTAGGCTGTGATTAAATCTTACACAATATGTGTGTGGGTGTTGAAATAAGCAATATTAAACCATAATAAGTCCTTATTCCCTGGGTATTTTTATCAACTTAATTATTTTACTTGTACTCTTACTGTTTTATCAGACCACATGCTTTGCATTGTCCTAATCCAGGAGTCGGCAACCTTTAACAAGCCAGACATTTTTTTTCCTTCAGCTTCAACTAAATGTAAGAGCTGCAAAACCTGTGTGGGAAAAAAAGTGCAGATATGTAATTTTATAATCATTTCCCATCTGACCTGAACTGTAACTTTACAAGGTACCCCAAGTTGTTTTTGGGTTTTTCTTTTTTTTTTTTTATTACTCTGAACCACCTTAAGCATTTGTGGCATAGATTCAGTAATTAGTTGGAAACGTTCCTCATACAGACTCTGAACATCTATGATGTTCCACCACATCCTGAAGGAGCTCTGCTCCTTATTCAAACTGGCTCTAAAAGTTTTTTAATCCAGCAGATTGAATCAAGATATTGACTCGCAGCATTCAAAAATAAAATAAAAAATGCTCAACATAGTTTGTTTTCGACCTACAGGTTCTTGTTGAGCACCTTCTAATCTTTTATTTAAAATGTACATGAATCAAGTTTCCTTCCATACAAAACTCCATACTCGCTCACACCTGGATCCTCACCTTTTATTCACGGAGACGTTCCTACGGTTTGATACGAATCCACTGGAAGGTTAAAGATTTGTGTCTTCTGGTATCGGAACGTAAACGGAGCAGCACCAGTAAGAGTGAAAGTGTCCCAGTTGGAGTTTGGTCCTGAACAGGGTGAAGCATCTCAGGAGGGAGCTAATAATAGCTTCCCACTGACTCTCCATCCACTCTGACGGAGCCTGAATGTCTGAATGAGGACAATGGAAAAAAACGGATTCCTACATCCGTTCCCAAGTTACTCATGATGTGAAGCTGTTGTGTTTAATGGCCGCTGCAGGGAATATCTTTTTTTTTTAATCTTTTTTATTTTATTTGTTGTCTTGTATAGCTTTGGATGTTAATTTTATTCCTGTTACCATACAGATCATTTCACTGGCTTTGATCGACTTTCACCCTTTATACCGCCACCTACTGGGCAGCCAGTACGAGTTCACAAAAGGAAAAGATCCAATCCCCTGTGACTCGGCAGTCGCTGAGAAATATTTTATCCAGTTCTTTTAAGAGCAGAGTTGTCCAAAGTGAAACCCAAGGTAGATTTCTCCCCTCCTATTATGTTATTATGCACCTTCTAATTTATATTATTCAAAAATAGTATAAATTTAGACGACAACTCTGGTGATTGATTCATATGAAGATGTCAAAGAAAACAAAATTAAAGTAAGATTGTTTGAGATGTTCAGTATTTATCTTTTATTAAATATGCTTCCAGCTATTTTTAATTTAATAGTAAGCACGGCCACAAATTTCCAGATTACTCATTGAGAAGCAGTCTGAGGCTCACAGATTCATGAAACCTGGCAAACTACAGCAAGGTCTTTAAGGAAAGAATGACCCAAATCCTGCTCTTCATCCTTAGAGTAGACTTTTTTTTTTTCTAGACCAAAAACAAAACTAGGAAACTGTTTCCCTTTTCCTTTTAACAAGGCAGCACTGTTTTTGTGTCAGATCTACAGGTACATTACACTACTTTTAATTTTAGGTCAGTAAAAAAAAAAAAAAAATGCTCTAAAATTGTTTTGGCATTGTCTTTGTGGAGAATATTTTGGGTTTTGTTCTCAACATTGTTGCTATTCCTGGACCTTCCAGGACGTTTCACTTTTACGTCAACCGAATCTTGTTTTATTTGGACACCACTTTGTGTTCGCTTTGGTCAGCAGAGCTTTCACCTTCGAACTTTCCCACGGACGTCGTTTCTGTTGAGTGTCTTTGTTATTTTTGAAGCGTAACCTCTGACCTTAATTGAGATCTTCAGATGTCACGTTGGGTGGTTCTCTTGTGACCTCCGAGTTGATTCACTGGAGTTTTCTTGGAGTAATTTTAGCTGGTTGCGGGCTTTTTTTTTTAATCCTTTACAGACAATCAATTGTTTCTATTCTGGTCTTGGACACGATCGGAGCTCGATGTGTTTCTCTTTTAGAGGTTTTGGCCTGCTACCTCTTGTCAGGTTCTGTGGTTCAACAACTCTGGCAGTAACCAGGCATAGGTGCAGCTAGTGAAACTAGAAACGAGAAAAGGCTGGTTGTAAATGTTTTTTTGTCTTGTCTTTCTGTACTGAGTACCTTGTAATTAAAGCCGATAAGCTGGAAAAACCAGCTGAAGTCGTGGTGCAGCTGAAGTTTATCTCCGCCGTGTCTCTGTTTTCCTGGCTTTCTCCGTCTTTTCTTTCTCAGCCCAGCCTTTTCGAAGTCATGAATGATCAGACTCCAAATGAGGAGGAGGTACTCGGCGCAAAGAGTGTGTGTGAAAGACAAGGGAGGGAGGAGTGTGCGTGAAGGTGATCGTGGGGAAGGGGAGGAGGGGGATGTAGGAGGGTGCTGGAGTGTCGTCAGTGATCATCGTCACTGTGACTCACACAGAGACAAGAGCCAATAGCCTATTTTTCCTTCTCCTACCGCATCCCTACTTTTTCCTTCCTCAGCCCTGGCACCAGCAGCAGGTCATTCTTCCTGCACACAGCTGAGGATCAACAGCAGCTTCCTCCTCCTCTTCCTCACTCTCCTCTCTCTCCCTCTCTCACTCACACGCCTCTCAGTTGCAGCTGAGCACTAACAGAACCTCTCAAGAACACAAACACACACACACACACACAAAGAAAACAGTAAGAGGATCGGGATGCGGATGTGTGTTTCCAGCGTGACGGCAGTTGCCTCCTGCCGTCGCGTCCAGGCTGCTTGGAAGCTCACCTTCCCCCTGCTTCTCCTCCTGCTGCTGCCGGGCAGAGGTGTCCAGGGTGTCCCCTCTCCTTTCCAGCTGGCTCCGGACACCCCCTCGCCGGCCGAGCCCAGCCCGACCCAACCCACACCTCGCCCGGACCCCTGCGAAGGCCGGCCCTGCCTCAACGGGGGGCTCTGTCTTGCCCTCCTGCCTCCGCTCAGGCTGGAGAGCAGCTGGGAGTACACATGCACCTGCAGCCAGGGCTTCACTGGACACAACTGTGAGGTATGAAGCCGCTAAGCTCTTCCTCTCCGCTTTGAGCTGCCTACGTGCCACGCAGTAGATTGTTACACACGTCCTGCTGTTAGCAAGTGTTTTTTTTCTTTCTTTTTCTTTTCTTTTCCGTGGGAGCATGTGTGGTCATTGAGACATGGAGTCGAGTGCCGCGTTGCTGTGGAAACAGGGAGGAAGAGCAGCAGCAGAAAGATGCAAAAGGGAAACAGTGTGTGTGTGTGTGTGTGTGCGCGCGCGCGCGTTTGTTTGTAATACCTTGTGGGGACGATTTTCCTGACATATACTACGTTGTGGGGACCAATTGCTCCTTGTGGGGACCGGAGCCTGGTCCCCACAAGGGGAAACCCTGTTTTTGGGTCAGGGGTCAGATTTAGGGCTAAGGTATGAATTGAGTTTTGGTTAGGGTTAGGTATGTGATGGTTAGGGTTAGAAAAAGGGTAAAGGTAAGGTTTAGGCTGTAGAAATGAATGGAAGTCAATGGAAAGTCCCCACAAAGATAGCCACGCAAACATGTGTGTGTGTGTGTGTGTGTGTGTGTGTTTCAGAGAGAAAATATTACAGGATGTTTGGCAAACTAGAACCTATTGAGGAATCAATGCCTTCTGTTAGAGGCTTTATGTTTACGGTTGCACAAAGTTATGTCAGATAAATCATGCATGCATGAATTTATTAACTCTTTGAGGAGCAGACGTCGAGGCCAAAGGGCCGCCTCTGAAGTGCATCTATCGATTTCCGGCTGGACAGTCGTGATCTAGATTAAATGCTGCCCTGCTAGAAAAAGATCAGGAGTGCCAAACAGGCCAAGTCTTATTGGTGTTAATCAATAAGCGTATATAATACGAAAACAAATACTGCATTATATTCATGGCCTTCAGTTTTTCATCAAAACACCCTGAAATGAGGCTCTGTTACTCTGTTGCACAGTGACACCGTGAATCAGGTCTCATATTTGTCTTAGCTTTCCTATATGTTCAAGGGCGCTGCGAAGCTCCGATGCAGACCTCTTTTATTCTGATTTAGCGCCTCATCGACGTTCTCATAAAGCCCGCTCCATTGCTCCCCCGACTGCGTGAGCTTTACTCGGGGCTTTTAGAGAGTTTGGCTGAGCGTCACTACAGCGCCGGGCTTCTGAGTCATGCTGGGCTGGGGTGAGCGAGAGCATCCGCCAGCAGCAAGGAGGGGAATAAATGAGGCTGCTGCAGCAGAGGGGAGGGAGAAGCCAAGGTGACTGGGTTTTAGCAGAATCATCCAACAGGTGGCAGATGAAACCCTCCCCCCCCTCCTCTGCTTGAGCTCTCTTCTTTACGTTTGCATACACAGACTTGATTTCTTTTTTTTTTCTGGTCAAAATTTTACAGATAGACTCAAACATGGTTTATTCCTACTGATTAAAATACCTCACTGTCCTGCTGGAAAGTTTTGGTCATCAATCTGTTGGTCTCTGCTAAAATTTAAGAGCTTGGTTCTTCTTTCTACCACTGGCAAAAACAAACAAACAAACAAACAAATAAACAAACAAACAAAACCCCTCAGCATGACGCTACCATCACCATGCTTCACGGTTCATATGATGTTCTTAGTTTTGAAAGGCTTGGCACCTGGCATTTTGCTCTCAGGACAGGCAAATCCAAAATTTGACATGACATTTTGAAAAAATACGACTTATACATTTAGACAAATATATACTTAAAGAAAAGAACTGAACTGTCATTTTATTTCTACTTTCAGGATTTAAAATGAAAGTAAAAATAAAAAAAGATGGATTTTATTTTGCCTGTGATATGAAAAATGCGGAAAAAAAGAAAAGAAAAAGCAAATCGAAAAGCATTTTAACTTTTTCTCCTTGTGAAAAGAGTTAAAAACCTGCTTTTGTTGTTATATATCTATATTTAAAATCATCGTCTGGTTCTTTTAAATTTTTAGCCAAACTTATTACGAGTCATTGTAGAAGGTCCAAAAGCCACTTACAGCTCCCAAGCTGCAGGTTACAGACCACTGTTCTAGCAAATTTGTTATAATTGTATCCCTGAAGCTCAATCTTTATAAAATAATCCATGCGGTCTGTCCATATGTGCAGATGCAAATTTTACTCCAGCTCGGCTGTGTCAGTTGTAAAGCAGCGGATTATTTTTGGTCAGCACTCGTCCCCCTCTGTTCGTATTACACTAACTTCTGTGTCGACGGCAGTTTTTGTATTTTTGTGCTTTCCACAGCATGGCAGGTCTATACTTTATCTTTTTTTTTTTTTGAGCTGGTCCTTAAAATGCTTACCAATTTTCTTCCCTCTGTGGGTGAGCTGGATGGACACATCTGGGCTTTTTAACAGAACCACACATAAAAAAAAAAGAAAAAAAAAAGATTGGAATAGGCTGAAGCAGCAGCATTAGCATTACCTTAATGGCCAGAAGCTTGTGTCTGTAAATTTGACTTTTTTTTTTTAATGCACTGGTCTCCCTTGTCAGGATTTATAAGCTTCTCTGTCTCAGTCATCCCTTGTCAGATCCTCTTGTTCTCAAGTCCTCCTTCCATGCCAGTTATTTTCCCCCTGTCTCCATTTCACTCTCTTTGGCTCTCCCTTTGTGCCTCCAGTCGGGAAGTTTTGTTCTTTTTTCAATAAGTAATCATCCTTGTTACCCTTCTGGTTGCTGTTTGGTCCTCTTCAGGCTTAGCATGCCCCGGGAAATCTAGTAAATATTAATGCAGGCGAATGCACATATTTGAGCCTGAATGTGTAATTTTGATCTGGAGTGGAATGAAGAAAATCCACAATAATTTAAAAGTTGCGCATTAAAACAATGTTTATTATTAATTAGTTTGTTTCATAATCATTCCACGCCACTGATAAAGTGTTTCAAACGCTTCTTTGGGACATAAAACCAAGATGAAATTCCTACCAGTGACGAGTGAACGGCGACATGTCAGCAGCAATGTGTGTGTGTGTGTTCTTTGTGTGTGGTTCGCTTGTACAACTAAAACAGTTTGCTGGAGGGTCTTCGTGTCTTACCGCTTCTCGGAATAGAGCAGTTTACCTCTGCAGCCTGCTTTAATAAAACTTCTGAGGACGGTGACGTCCTGGCCTGAGGTCACACTGGACAACCGTGTGCACCATGGGAATACTTTAAAGAGAGCCTCAACAGAGAGCAGCCATCAGCGCTCGAGCTGGACGCGAACATTTCTCTCCTGCTGCATAAATAACAACACCACTCTAGCTTAATGCCCCCTCATGCGCCACTGAAGCTCAGGTCTGGCACAAGCACTGAGTCGGGACTTAGGGGATTCATCGATTTTTGTCTCGCTCCACTTTTCGGTCCATCTCTTCACCATGGAAACTGGAGCGGCAGTCAGTTGGGGTTTAGTAGCCGACCTGAGTTTGAATCGCTCTGCTCTCTCCAGAAACACATTTGCTCCATGAGAGGAGGAGAAATCGTTGGGGGTGGGGTTGTGTGCTGATTTGTGTCAAACAGGAGGATGTGATCCTGAGCAAATATTGAAAATGAAGATGAAAAAGTCTGCAGGTTTCAGGAAACTTTGCAGCGTTATTAAACTTTTCTGGCTGCCGTCCCGGCTTTGTGACTTCCCTTCCTGCCTGGGCTTCACGCTGCAGAAATCATCAAAGCAGCCGCATGCAGACCCCGCCGCTGAGCACCAGGAGGGAAAACAAACCCACTCCCTTTGTTAAACTCGCTGCTTTTTTAATAACCGCCGGCACCGTTTTCTGGACGGCATCCCCTGAGCTGTCCGGTTGGAACTGACTGCCACTGGCCTTTCTCTGCATTATTAGCTCCTCAGCCTCTCAGTTATTCATTATTGAAGGGCCTGTTGTGCTCCCCTGATGGATTTGGTTGTTTCATTCTGCTGCACAGTGAAGTTGCTGCCATACGAAACAGCAATTTGTTCTACAACAAAAGGCTCTTGCTGGGTTTAAGCCACTCAGGTTTATGTAAGCAGCAGATCTTGGCAGAAGAACCGAATCTACATTTAGGGAAGCATTTTTTTTTTCTGTTCTGACTGAATGTACTGAAAATGGTACTTTGGCCACAGGAGTATAATCCTTCCTGAACACATCAGCTTCTGTGATGAGTTGGGACGCTTTAGGATCTTTCTGATAATCTTGATAGATTTTTAAGGCAAATTTTCTTTTCCATTACCTCGTTTCACTGAATCAGCCTCATATAAGAGCTACTTAATTTTACTGACCTGTGTTCTTTTATGTTTTTGGCTGAAACAAAATTACACCGACTATGAAAACACAGCAGGGTAATTAATGGGCTTTCACAAAGATCCTGCTGTCTTTCAACTCTAATGACCCTAAAGCAACGGCAGATGCTACGAAGCCGACGCAGATGATCGTCTTCAGAACTTTAGCCGGTTTGATTTCTTTTTCATTAGATGATTTAAAAAGTGTATTCAGTTTGTATTAGCTTAAATAGCTACTGATTCACCAGTAGAGTGGCAGTGCATGAAGTCTAAACTCATACTATACTAGGTCAACATTGTTTTTTTTTTTTTTTTGTCTTTCTGACTTAGAAAGAATGTACATTTTTCTTCCCTCCTCCCTTTGTTGTTGATTGGGACGATGGTGATGGTACGGGCTGAGCTCCAGGCGCACGCATGGTGAAGTTAATGGGCAGAATTGGGCTGATTATAGATCTGTCTGCCTTGCTTCCAGCAGAAGCGAGCGATGCAGCAGGAGACGTCCTTGGGAGCTGAAAATGGCCTTTATGGGATGCATAAACCGGACCATAAGGGTTTTATAACAACTTGGCTCAAAATGGTCATTAAAGGTCTTTTATTACGAAGTCAGGCCATTTCTCTCAACCCTGCTCCTCTTCACAAACCTCCTCCATATGTTTTATTTTCTTGTTGAAATTTTGCAGTTTGCCCAAATATTTTGCAACAACTATGTTCAGCTGAACACGCCTGAAGGAGGAGTTTGATTAACCTTTGAAAAAACAGACAAAACAAATAGGTAGTCAAAATAACATCACCCA